AAATATGTAAATTAGGTTTCCTGATCTATACAGTAAAATGCCTCGGGACAATTTGTGTAAATAAATCGTCTGCTCACCGCACAGTTTTCACTGCCTTCCTGGGAGCTTAGCAACACCAGCTGGGAGGAAACCCTCGCCCAACCGGAGAAGTGAACCTTCGGCAAGGCTGCGCTGTGGCGTCTGGGCCGCGTCCACACTCGCTGGCGGCCCTTCTCCAGGAGTGACAGGGCGTGCGTGTCCTAGTCCGATGGGAATTTCGGTGTTTTCACGTTAGGGCACCAGCAGAATTTGCAGGGGCTCAAGTGAAGATGCACAAGGCTGCAGGGCCACCTGCCCGGGCCGCTGGAGCCTGCTGGCCACCGTCCCCGCGCCAGCCAAGCGGACGAGCTGCATGCCTTCCAAGGGCAAGATGCAGGTGAGGCCTGGTGGGGAGATGGCAGGCAGCCTGGGGCCCCCAGGGCCACCCAACAAAGGGGCTCAGTCTTTCCAGACGCCCGCGGTGACGGGAACCCGGGTGGCCCCCTATTAAAAACTACCCCTCCCAGGGCCCAACGCCACTACCAAGCTCCCTTCAGACACCACTGCCCTGCCCGGAGAGGGTGTCGCCAAAGAGCCTCGGGGAGAGGGTGAGACGATGCAGCATTTACTGGTCTGTGTAATGAGGCCTGTAATAGATGACAGCTGACATCCAGAGCCCAAGGTACTGGCAAGGTGTTTAAATATTGACAATCCGTAAATGCATTTCAACTGACTCCAAGCAGCTACAGGCCTCCGTTAAGGCGGGAGGGCGGGGGGGGGGGGGGCGAGGGCGTCTCTCTCAACTTTCAGCCGCTGGATGGTGAGGCCGGCGGCCTGCTCTGGCCCAGTCGAAATCGCTGGCAACCTGCTCTCCAATGTTGAGAAAGTGAAGCGGAACCCTCGGGGCTCGCTGGAAACGACAGCGTCCTCCGGGTCAGCTTCCTGGCATGTCTTGGTCCCCGTGGGTCAGCTTCCACCTTCTGGTAGTGACCCGGGGAGTCAGACCGCCAGCTGCCGGCAGAAGGCTCGTGTCTGGGCGAGGCCCTCGGGTGTGGGGTGCCACCCCATTAGTGCTGCACCACCTTCCAGACTCCCTGAAGCTGCACTTGTAATCACCAAGCACCCCGTTTCCTTCATCGCAGCAGATGGATGAGCAGCGGCAGCGCGAGGGGAAATGAACCAGCTCCCCAGGGAGCCTGAGAACGCACCCTCCAACCCCGGGGCGGCTCGAGTGCTCACTAGGGCTAGGATTCCCACGCGCCTGCGTCTGGCTGGTGGGGGGCTCCGTTCCCCGCAGGCCGTTCGCTGACATGAAGGTGCTCGTTTCAGAGGGACGGTGCACCTGACTGACCAGGGTGAGGAGACCATCCGTGGAGATTAAAAAAAAAAAAAATGTAAGCTCAGCTTTTTCTTTTGAGATAATTGTGGATTCCCACGCAGCTGTGGGAAATAGCACAGGCATCCCATGTGTCCTTTATCCAGTGTTCCAACCCCCCGCTCCCCCGCAAGGGCGTCATGTTGGGAAACTACAGTACAGCACAACCGGAAGACTGATACTGACACAGTCCTGACGGGACCCTTTGCTGCAGTGCTTGCACCTGGACACGTCTCTCCTCGAGAAACAAAAACCAAAGAAACGGTACGAGACTAATAATAACTACGTGCTTGCCCAGTTGGGACAAATTCTGGACCCCAAAGATACAGAGACCCCAAACCCCAACTGCCGCTTTTGAAGAGACTGGAGCAAGAGCAGGGGGTTGGGAGCAAAAGCAAGGTACTGAGCACGCCCCCTGCACACCACACCGCCTAAGAGGTGGGCAAAACACCTGTCTCCCCTCTGGCCCGACTCCTGGACACGCCCCTACCCTCACCCCATGTAAGCAACAAGCTCGCTCCACCCCCTGCCCCGCCCCCGTCAGGGAGTGAAGCAAGGGAAGCTGCTGGTTGCTCTCGAACGCCCCTGCTGCAGCAGGGGCCCCAGTAAAGCCTTGCCTGAATTTCCCGTCTGGCCTCTGATCAATTTCTATTGAGGAAGGAGGCCGAGAACCCTGGTCAGTAACACCGATCCACAGCGTTTCCATCGCCTCAAGGGTGCCTCGTGTGGCCCTTTTACAGCCACGTGTCCGCTGGGATCCTTAACTCTTGTCGGGGAGACAAGCTTTCAGGTAGAAGGGAACGACTCGGCGGGAGTCTTGGGTGCGTGTCCTCTAGAGCAAGGCTTCCTAACCTTTTCTTGGTGCCGTGGACCCTCTGCCAACCTGCTGACTCTGAAGGACCCCATCTCAGAATGGTTTTCATGCATAAAATAAAACTGAAAAGGAAACCAGTTACATTGGTGGTGCTCATAAATGCCTGGCAGTAACCGCAAGTTCACAGTCATGTCCGTCTCCTGGTTACGCGGAAGGTCTGGATCACGTGGGTTTTCTTGGCACCCTTGTTAAGCTACGCGGTCTTTGGAAGATGTGGTGGAGAGACAGGCGTTGAGGTGACACCCTCATCCCAGGGAACTCAGAAATCTTCGCTTCTTCATGAACGCTTTCGATAAGAAGGTCTAGCAGGGTCTGCAGACGACCGTAATGTCAACGCCGTGGTGAGAATGAACGATGTCGGGAAATCTCTGCACACCTGGCACGTGATGTGAACGTAGCTGTGATTTCTACCGCTGGTGGTTTCACAGGTTCTGCAGTTACTTACGTGGGTTCTCACCTACGGTTATGGGTTGAACTGGGTCCCCTCATCATTCATACCTTCAAGGCCTAATCCTTAGTATATCAGAATGCGACCTTATTTGGAAACAGGGTCTCTGCAGACGTAATTAGTTAAGATGAGGTCATGACGGTGGGCCCTAATCCAGTATGACTGGGGTTCTTCTAAAAGGGGGAAGTTTGGACACAGGAACGCAGGGAGGAGGCCACGTGAAGAGGAAGGTAGGGGTCTGGCTGACGCTTCTGCTACAAGCCAAGGACCCCCAAAGGTTGTTAGCGACACATAAGAAGTCAGGGGACAGGCCTGGACCAGATCCTCCCCGATGGCCCCCAGAGGGAACCAACCGTGCCGACACCTTGATCTGGGGTTCCAGCCTCCAGATCTGAGAGAGAACACGTTTCTATTATCTAAGCCACCCAGTGTTTGGTACTCGGTTACAGTAGCCGAGCAAACTAACACGTGTTTATAAGTGAAGGAAAGCTAAATTTCAGTTAGAGGGCTAGTGAAGATAAACACGTATTTTTTCCCGTCGAAGCTGATAGAGCCCCTTGGTGGGCCTGAGCAGGACAACCTTTGCAACAAACGCTCTCCTTGCATTTGGGCAGCAAGCGGCTTTGCCTCCTGAGGCCAGTGCAGCCTCCACTGCCTCAGTCTGGGCACAGACCTCACAGGGCCTTTCAGCCACGGCATTTGGGTTTTTTTGTTTTTTTTTTTTTTTGCGGTACGCGGGCCTCTCACTGCTGTGGCCTCTCCTGTTGCGGAGCACAGGCTCCAGACGCGCAGGCTCAGCGGCCGTGGCTCACAGGCCCAGCCGCTCCGCG